GCGCTTCGGAGGAAGGCCTCCCGGGGCTGGCCGGCCAAGGGACTTTGGGCAGGTCCTATGTCCTCTCTGAATGCTGCAAGTGGCAGGGAGTGGCTAGCATGTCACACAGACAAGGAAGCAAAGTCCCGGAGAGCCGAAATCAGCAAGTCTGAGGCCCTGGCCCTAGTTTGTCAGGACCAGGTGCTAGTTCTTTTTAAATGAACGGGTGCTCTCATTTGGGCCCGTGGCTGGCTGCCCTGCTCACTGAGCATCTTTCCCTAAGCCTTTCTCAGCCGCTTACATTCATCCATTTCCCCTGCGGCTTTTCAAAATACCACGGCAACCACCCCCCCCACCGCGGAGGTGAACGGCAGTGTAAGCAGTCTCCTCTCCATTGGCTCGTACTATCCTTAGCGATCGTTAGAGGGCCGGAGGGACTGCTTGATGAGAGGCAACCAACACGACCCTGAGATGGGGGTCAGTGGAGCGGGCTTCCGGCACCCAGGGCAGGTGGGGCAAAGGAGAGAGGGTTTTGGTTTTGTTTTCAGAAGAGCCTTCTTGTTGGGCCTCTCAGCTCAGCCCAGGTGTGTAAGCACCCCACCCCACCTTGTCCTTCCTTACCCAGCATGGCGAACAAACTGGGGCTCGTGGCCGTCTGGTCCTTCTCCTCCGCTACCTTGGTCAGCCGGCGTGAGAGGCACCAGGCCACAGCCAGCCCAAAGTAGGCTGCGAACACGTGGATGTGCATCATGCTGGTGTGGCCGTCTACCTGCAAGAAAGCCCGTGGGAGCTGTAAGTGTTGGTCACCCCAGCCCTCGGGCAAACCCTGGTGCTCCGAGGAGAAAGCTCTGCTCTGTGAACCGACCAGGGGTGGGACTTGAAGTCCTGGGTGCCTCCCGAGAGGAAATGGAGGGAAGCCAGGGATTTGCTCCGGGGGGTCACCGGCTGGCCTTCCTCAAACCACAGGGTGTAAAGTCTTGGTCTGACTCAGGACGACCCCTGTATGTCAGAGCCACGAGGGCTGTGCTTCTGCAGGAGGGGTCACCAGGGCCTTTCTTCTGCGGGCCTCTGGGTGGGTTCAAACTGCCAACCCTGTTATGAGTAGCTGGGTCCTGAGCCATATGCGACCCCTAGGGACTCTTTTGTCACTAGCTCCCAAGTGATTGTGACAGAGGTCCAGGGAGGTGGGCAAAAGGCCACTTGGACACACACAAGCCTCTTCCTTTCTTTCTCTCTTGCTTAAACAGTTGTATTGGCACTTCCTCCACATAGCATACGATTCAATAGTTCAACCACATCAAGGAGCGCTGTACAAGCTTTTACCACGTTCCATTAGACCAGACCACGTTCTTTTCCCCTGTGCCCGTCATCACAGCGCTATTGGCACGGGAGCTTGGGTGAGAGCGGCTTTGCAACGGGAAGCAGCCAGGCGTC